CAGGAGGTGGCCAGGACCATGCGGTCTCGGTGGCTCCAACTCTCCGGGGCTTGGAGCTCTGTGGTCATGCCTCCAACCACTCATGCGGGAGAGGCCATGCGTTGCAGGAACATCGTAGAGTTGTCCAAATGGACGTCCACGCCCGGTCCCATCGGGAAGCCAGAGCTGGAAAAACCCCTCATGAGCATCGTGGCTGCTGTAAAGAAATGTGGACGAATTTAACTGAGTATTAGAAGGTTCCTGTTGGGGTAGAATAGGTCCCTGGTGTTGGCTGGGCAACCTCAGGGGCCAGGGTCCCCATCATGTGCAGCTCTTGATGACGATGATGACGACGGTGCCATGTCAGCCACCGGATCAGACTCTCCAGCTGCAGACAGGCCTGCGCTTGGGCTGGCTAGTTAATGCTCCCTTGTCAGGTGACCCTTCCTTTGACAGACAGCTTTCTTGGGATGTGTGCTTTCTTTTAACAAGTCAGGGAAACATTCTGTGTTTCTGCTGCACAGTCTCAAAGCACGCAGGCTCTGTGAACCTTCATGGACTCAGAACAGTTTAGAAGGCGGGGCCTGTGTAGCCTCTCCTCAGGAGTTCTTACTGGGGCCTCAGCTGGGACTATGGAAAGTGTCAAGTCCCGACAGATATGGAAGTCCATACACTTGAATCCAGACCAGAGGCTGTGGCTTTGAAACTCGGTAGGGAACCGTGCAGTGTAGATGGGACTTGCAACTCACCTGGGGGGGACTTACGGGATACACCCAGAACCCCACTCCCCCAGTGGGGTCCGGGTGTCTACAGATCACAACACCTGAACAGGTTCTTCAACTCCAAGATGCAACAGGTTGAACATGTCTTCTCTTGGAAAACATGAGTTCACATGGTAGAGTGAAAGGTACCAGATGTGTACATCCTTTTATCAACAGACCTCCAGAGTTGACCTGTAAACACAGTACTTTGCTGAGACTGATTAATGCTGTCCATCATTTGTCACTTCTTGAGCAAAGAGCAGCCAGCTCCTGTGTCTTGGCCATGGGCTGTCCCTCGTCACCTGCACAGGCTCTGCTTATGTCCATTCAGGGGAGTGAACACCCCGCCCCCAGGGAAACATCCTGTCCCATCCCCCAGCATCTTGAAGCCATGCTCTGCCAGGTGCCCACAGCGTGGACTGGCATTAAAATTGTGCCCCGTGCTGGCTTCCTCCCATCTCTTAATTCCCCATCCCTCCCTGGATTTTCTGCAGTCACAGACAAAATAAACTACTTGTGCTTGCATCTTTGTTTTAGGATTAGCTCTGGAGGGAACCCAGACAAAGACAGAGATGGGACTGGAGTTAGGCAACAACATTCTGTACGGGAAGACTTTCTTTAACATTATGCATTAATGTTCCTCTCACTGCAATTTTTCAAGGTACCAACAAAGATTTGAATGTTCCTCTTGAAACAGAAATATGTGAAAGTAGCAAGGATTTTTTTTAAAGATTTTATTTATTTATTTGACAGGGAGAGAGATCACAAGTAGGCAGAGAGGCAGGCAGAGAGGGAGAGGAAGGGAGGCAGGCTCCCTGATGAGCAGAGAGCCCGATGGGGGGCTTGATCCCAGGACCCTGAGATCATGACCTGAGCCGAAGGCAGAGGCTTTAACCCACTGAGCCACCCAGGCACGCCAAGGATTTTTTTTTTTTTTTAAGAAAACTTGTATGGGAATTCTTGCCCTTCCAAGTATCCTAGTTCCTTATAATGTGATAATGTTGACACAAGGAACCATGGGCAGAGAACTGGACAGATGACTCAGTAGAAGAACCACAAGCTCAAGAATCAGCAAGATGAGAGGAGGACTTTTGCTCCAAAATAATGTTGGGAGAATTGGTTTACCAGTTGGGGGGATATGTTAGAACTCTGCTATCTGCATCACTCTGATGTAAATTCCAGGGGTAGTGAAGATCTAAGAGTAAAAACTCTGAATGTATAAAAATACTACAGAGAAATAGGGGTCCATGTGTCTACAGTTTTGAGTGGATGAGACGCCAAGCCTGACAGAGAAGAGCCCAGAAGAGCAGAGCCGGGGCCACCAGATTTGAACACCCCCTGGATGAAGATTCCAAACATCCAGAAACAGAAATCCCAGTCAAGCTAAGGGAAGGACATTGGTTGTGATGAAGCGTGATTATGGTGTGTTGTCCAGTGGGGGAAAGCAGATGGCATAGGATAGATGGTTTTGTTGCCAGATGGTTAACACAGTTTCAGGCACTGGAAAACCTGTGGAAGGTCAATGTTGACAGTACATGTCGACAGCGCACTCTCTCCCAGAGAGAATTATGGAGGAATGCTTTGTAACTGTTGCTCTTCAGAAGCGTTATCGTGTCTCCTAAAGGAACGTCTGTCGGTTTGGGGAGTACTCTTAGACAGGCTCGTGTGCCTTGTGCGTCCAGAGACGGACATGTGTGTGCGTGCATACTTGGAGATCGGTAGAATGTCTTTAGAACACAGAATGTTCTGCGGACTGGTTCAACTGAAACATACACTGAAGAAAGTATCCATCAAGGGAAAGGATGGTGCTCCGTGAAAGGCAAGTGTATGCAAGACGACCTCCCAAAGCCAAAGGAGACGACCTCCCAAAGCCAAAGGAGCCATGAGACCAAAGGAAAAAGCCGTCCAGTCCAGGCTGACAAGAGATGGTCTAAAAAGGCTTCCAGACAGAAGCACGTCTTGGGCAGCCGGTGGCAAGCTGGATCTCCACAGCCCACTTCCTGTGAGACTGACTTTTATAGCCCTAGAGGCTGGGCTTCTGCTGGGGGACCCCCAGGAGGAGATGATGGAGGACGGTGTGAGTGCTGGTCGTATCTCCAGAGCTGATCACGGATGTTATGTCCCAAGGCTGTTCTTAAGTGATCTCACTTGTGTGGTTAAGTAAAAAGGAAGAATAGAGTCGAGTCTATGGCCAAGGAGACTTCAGGAAACAGATGGGTCACCGCAGCTTTTCTGTCCAAGTTGGTATCAGGCCAGTTGGCCCAGTCGCCAGCAGGGAGGCACAAAATAAACACTCCAAGGGTGTGTGTTGGCTGGCACACACCTGCAGGGAAAGGGGGTGCCCTGACGTCATCCAACCAAAACCCTGAGCTTACCCCTCCTCAACAAGAACTTTCCATAAGTCACTTAAATTCCTCTGTGCCTTTGTCTACTGACAGGGAAATTGTTGGTCACAATGACATCACCAAGTCTCTCTCTTTTCTGTAAATTGTACACTTGTGCACTCCATTCTCTCGCACACTCTCTCTGGGTGATTTTTTTAAAAAAAAGATTTTATTTATTTATTTATTTGAGGGAGAATGAGTGAGAGAGAGCATGAGAGAGGAGAAGGTCAGAGGGAGAAGCAGACTCCCCAAGGAGCCGGGAGCCCGATGCGGGACTCGATCCCGGAAGTCTGGGATCATGACCTGAGCTGAAGGCAGCCGCTCAACCAACTGAGCCACCCAGGCACCCTCTCTGGGTGATTTTGTCTTACTATTCACACACCATCTAAAACTTGACATTCATGACTTCATTTCCGATCCAGACTCCTCTTCTGTGAGCCGCAGACTCCTATGTAGAAAAGTCCTCTGGACATCTCCATCGAATAATATATGCGTGCAATACCTACCATTTAGTTCCCCAGCTCTTAGTCTCCTTCATCCCCTGGTCCACAGCAGCCCTCCCTGAGCTCTTCTTCTCGGTCCATGATGGTCACCATCCCCCCAGTGGCCTCGTGTCCCCTAAGCCTTCATGATTCCCTGCTCATCCCCTTCCGGCAACCTCCTGACACCCACACAGGAGCGTGCACACATGCACGCCCACACACCTGACTCTCTTCCCTTCCCCAGCCCATCCAAAACCCCCACCATGTTCCTTGGATTTCTGCTCTTTCCTGCAAATCAGGAGAGCAGAGGCAAGTGTAGTCTTGTCACCCACTGACCCATTTTCCAAGCACCAGTGATTGTAATGAAGACATACGGAAGCTCGGGTCAGGCTTCATGAAAACATTCCAATGCCTTCCACTGCAGTTGGAGGAAGTACAAATTAGGAACCATGGCTCAAAGGACCCCTGTGCTTCGTACAGGCCTTGCGGGGGGTGGACTTCTTTCAGGGTTTGCGTTGGTCTGTCTAGCCTCACTGCCTTCACGGATGCTGTTCCCCATAGGGTGCCCTTCCCTTACCCCTGCTCTGTGAGGACAATTACTTCTCTGGGCTCTGCTGACGTCGGGCAGCACAGGGAGCATTAGGATGTGTGTCTGTAGGGCCGACTTGCTCTTCCTTCTCCTTTCTTTCCTCCAATGGCTTTTCTAGAGGTTTATACTCTCCTCACTGTTGCTCTACTTCAGTCCAGGATCTCAGTCCTAACCATGAATCCTCAGTACCCAGCGCTGGCCCCCGGCCTATCCTGGGCCCCGGAGGCAGAACACAGAGAGTTCTTCCCTCCTCCAGCCTATGACAAGTGCCTCAGGCCATGGCCATTCTGTCCTCCCAGTCCGTGCCCAGTCCTTCCATGAATGGCCTGAACACGGCCTCACACCCCCTCTGCCCTTTGTACCTATCAAGCCCCAAGCTCAGGGCAGCTGCAGGTGCACCAAAGCGTCCAGCCCCCATGCTCCCTGCAAACCTCTCTGCCTGCTCTCGGTGACCCCTCTCAGCTGTGCTCTGGGTCCCCATAAAATTCTCTCGACTGTATTTTTTTCTGTAGATCTGTCAAAATCTCGCCCACGGTATTGTTCTCTTAAGCAGCGATTCAGCCGTGGGGAGGAAGAGTAGAGTGTGAAGACTCAGTTCTGGGGCTGCGGGGAAGGCTTCCCGCGGGCCAAGGTGGGAATTTGTGGGATGATCTAATGGGGCTGAAAAATTGAAGCCGGGGTGTTCGGGGGGAAACGTGGGCATCTGGTGATGGGCCCGTGGTAAGAGGGATCCACGCGGCTGGGACTGTAGATGAAATGAACTCGCTTTGAAGAATGAGCTTTCCCGGTAGGTTTCTCCAGATTTTCTTGACCTTTATCACCAAGAGAAATTAATGTTTAACCAGCCCCGGAGGCTGGGAAAGCAAGGACAGGGAGCCATCTGGATCTCGAGCTACAAAGAGTGACCTGTCGGAACACTGCTTGGCCACGTTTTCCTCAACCCCCAGAACGAGAGAGTCTCCTGACGGAGAACAGACTCAGAAGGAAGTAGGATTCCCAGCAAGTAAGTCCCCGGCTTCATACGTAATTGATGGTTATTGTTGGAAACCGCAACCTTGATTCCGGTCCCAGGGTACTGAACGTTTGCTTAACGTTAACTCACCTGAGGACTGGACGTCACTATTGGTCAAGTGCTGTTAGGCAAGGCTGTCGGGACCAAGGGGACTGACCCTAGGTGCTTGCACGCACACAGTCCTGCACGTATCTCGTGTGTGGCCAGGCGAGGGCTGGGGAGGATTTCCTGCCTGTCACTCGAGAGCGAGGACAGGACAGCATGGGCACATCTTGTCCTCACCACTCGCTTCCACCGCGGTCTTGGGTCCTTTGTTCCTCTGGGTCTCTGTTTCTTCCTCTCGACAATGGGGATTTTTCTAGCACCCACCTTGTCAGCTAATTGTGAGGATTCGATCTCATAATGTCCGGAAAATATCTGGCGCTTGGAAGGTGATAGAGAAATGGTGACTCTTCCCTTTCCTGTGAGATCTGGAGCATCAACGGTAACCTGAGAGGCTCCCTGTCCAGGGTGGTCTGAGGAGAACTGAAGGGTCTTTTCTGCCAACTTGCCCCGCTGGTTACAGTCTCTTCAGAAGGTACCGTTTTTGAGACTACCATTGCTTCTCCACCAGGTCGGAGTTAAAACAATGCTTCTGAGTGTTTAACCTGTGCTGGGACTCACCTTCTTCATCTTTAACATATCCTCATTGGATGCACGAGAAACTGAGTCAGGAGAGGTGAGAAGGATAGTCATGCAAGGCCTCCCCCCTTGCAACCACGAAACTGGCGCTTGGATGTTGTTGCGGCATAGGGTGGCCCCTGGGAAAGCATTGGATGTTTAAGACACTTACTGTGTCCCAGGCACAGGAGTCCCTCGGAGAGCAGGCAGTGGATGCTGGAGGGACGGGACCAGAGATGCAGGACTGTGGGCAGGAGGGGGACAGAAAGGGTGGACGTGAGGAACGTCAAGGCACAGCTGGAAAGTGACAAGTGCAGGACTGGACACAGGGTCGAAGGCTCTGGTCTCCCAAGGTGGCCTGAGGGCACAGCAGACATTATCTAGACACGTTTCCCTGTGCACAGCCTTGGGGGCCTGAAGCTCCCAGGTCTGAGGGTCCCTTACCAGAGCACGCTGTACCCCAGAAGGCAGCCTGTCCTGCTCTCAGTCAGCCTAGTGACCCAGCATATTGGGTCCAGGAGGTGACAAATGGCGCTCCTATTGCTGGAGTAAGTCATTCAAGGGTTCAGCCTCGCACTTGCCCTTAGGCTGCATACGCGTGTGGGATAGACGGGCACCCTAGGACTCTCCCAGAGTGGAATGATGACATTTTGAAACCAGGAATGTGTCGGTGCTGCTCAAAATTTAAATCGTGATTTCCAGACTTTCAAAAATCACTAAATAACATGGGAAGAAACACGGCCATCTGCTCGGGGGACCATCCCTGAACTTCACGACACCCCTGACTCCAGCTGCACGAGAGAGGCTCAAGGAGGCCGACCGCGGCTCAGACTGAGGAAGAAGAGCAGTGTGTTCCCATTGAACAAGGTCATTCGCAGTAATCGATTCACGGAGTCCATGGCTACATACGATGATGAAATGCTCAGTCCACCGAGAAGAGGATGCAGCTCTAGACAATATAACCCTAGTGGATGAACATAAATAGATCTTAAGTATATTAACCGTATTAAGCAAGTCTTGGCACAACTGGGGAGAAATCGACAAACTCACCCTCATAGTGGAAATCTTCAATGCATCGTTAGTGATGGTAGTAAACAGGATGATTGATCCAGGGAGCAAAAATATTAGATTTGGAAAACTTCGATAAGTAACCGTCTTGGTGTGGGGGACATAGATAGAAGCCTTCGGCAGAGAGCTAGAAAACACGCTTTCTTCTCAAGTGCGCGTGAAATGTGACAAAATTGAGGATGTAACCGGCCATCGCCTAAATCCCAACACCTGTCAGAGAATCGCTATCAGACCAGCGAGTTCTCTTGCTCCGATTCAGCTCAGGTCGATCCAGTTCTGTGAAGTTCAGTTCAGTTCCATTTTTTTTTTAAAGCAAAGATTGTTCCATTGGTCTGGAGTTGTTTTGAAGAGATAGACCATGTAACTGACACATCAAGGAAAAAAACAGAATGGAAATGAAATAATAATGTTTATTATTTTAGAAATAATGTTTGTTTTAGGCTTGAGATATGTATTGGAAGCTGAACATAGAAGAAAGCAGGTAGTTTTAAAAGCTAATATTAGAGGGATGCCTGGGTGGCTCGGTTGGTTGGGCTGCTGCCTTCAGCTCGGGTCATGGTCCCGGGGTCCTGGGATCGAGTCCCGCATTGGGCTTCCTGCTCGGCGAGGAGCCTGCCTCTCTCCTTGCCTCTGCCTGCCACTCTGCCTGCTTGTACGTACTCTCAATCTCACTGACAAATAAATGAATAAGTAAAATCTTAAAAACAAAGCTAATATTAGAAATTGAAAAAGGATAGATGTTGAGATAAGCAAGCAACTAAAGGGGCCAGAAAAATAACAGGATGAAGAAAACTGAACACAGGCAATAATAAAGATTAAGAGGAAACATGAATGAGAAAGGAAATAAAGGTAGATGAGGGCAGACCAACAAAGCCACAAGTTTTTCTTTTTTAAATCTAAAACAGAGATAGTCCTGGGGCGTCTGGGTGGCTTGATTGTTTGAGCATCTCACTCTAGATCTCAGCTCAGGTCTTGATCCCAAGACTAAGTAAAGACAAGAAGAGAGGAAAATAGGGAAATAAATAATATCATAAGAAAAGGGGGTTGTCATTTTAGGGACACCTGGGTGACTCAGTTAGGTGTCCACATTCTGGGTTTCGGCTCAGGTCATGCTCTCGGGGTCGTGAGATTGGACCCTACATCAGGCTCCATGCTCAGTGGGGTGTCTGCCTGGGATTCTCTCTCTAGCTCTCCTCTGCCCCTCCCCCTGCTCCTGTACTTTCTCTCTCTCAAATAAAATTTAAAAATAAAGCTTAAGAAAAAAAGAAAAGGGACATCATTATAGATTCAATCAAGCAGAATGATAATGATAATGAGTATATTATTAAAACAGACAAACCCTTGTCATTAAATGTAAAAATTTAAAATTACATTTCGTTTACATTTGGAACAACACCACGGAGAAACAGAAATCCTACTGAACGGTCCTGAATAATAAATAAATTGATTTATGAAAAATATTTCCTCAGACAAGAAGGAGAGGCAAATGATTTCTATGTATGATTTGTCACACCCTGTCAGTGATTGGGTAATTCCAAATTTCAAAATTATATAAATTCCTTCAGAGTATTAAAAAAGGGGTTATCCTCCATCTATGAGATCACAGAATTGACTCTAAAACTAGAGAAAATCCATATAAGCAAGAAAAATTACAATTTTATTCATGGGAAGGAAGTAAAAATTCTATGCAAGTGGCTAATACACCGTAGTTTTATCCGAAGCATAAAAGGATATTTGAAAATTAGAAAATGTATTAATGACATTCATCATATTAACAATTTAGATTAAGAAAACTATATGATTCGCTTCTCATTTGATGCAGAAAATACTTTGATAAAATTAAACTTCAATTTACTATAAAAGTAGGAATAGAAGAAATCTTCTAATAAGGGTTTTCCAACAAAACCCTGTTATTAATAGTGAAATTCTAGAAGCATTCTTTTTTTTTTTTTTTGAAGATTTTATTTATTTATTTGACAGAGACACAGCTAGAGAGAGAACACAAGCAGTGGGAGAGGGGGAAGCAGGCTTCCTGCTGAGCAAGTAGTCCAATGCGGGACTCGATCCCAGGACCCTGGGATCATGACCTGAGCCAAAGGCAGTGGCTTAACCAACTGAGCCACCCAGGTGCCCCTAGAAGCATTCTTTATAAAATCAACAAGATGAGGATGTTCACAACTGCTTCTGTTCAACAATGTCAAAGAGGCCCTAGAACAGGGCCAGGCAAATGAAATTTTTTTTTTTTAAGATTTATTTGTTTGAAAGAGAGAGAGCTGGTAGGGCAGGGGGGCAGAGGAGGAGGAAGAGAATCCCAAGCAGAATCTGTGCTAAGCGAGGAGCAGACATGGGGCTCCATCTCATGACCCTGAGATCGTGACCTGAGCTAAAACCAAGGGTCAAACACTCAACCAACTAATCCACCCAAGTGCCCTAGAACAATTATTCTTACTAGTACTGTAGCGACAATTGTCGATCTTTCTTGGTTAACTGATTGAGTGCATCATTTAAGAAATCCTTCCTACTCAACGTCATAAAAATGCATTTCTGTTGTCCTAAAAGTTTGCCTCTCACAGTGAAGGATTTAGTCTATCAGAAATCTGTTTTTGTATATGGATTAAGAAACAGGTTTAACTTCATTCTTTTCCCAAGTAGGTGACCAGTTGCCCAGAACCATTTAAGACTCTGTTCTTTCTCAGGGCGCTTGGGTGGCTCAGTGGGTTAAAGCTTCTGCCTTCAGCTCAGGTCATGGTCCTAGGGTCCTGGGATCGAGCCCTGCATCAGGCTCTCTGCTCAGCGGGGAGCCTGCTTCCCTTCCTCTCTCTCTCTGCCTGCCTCTCTGCCTACTTGTGATCTCTGTCAAATAAATAAAATCTTTAAAAATATATATATATAAAAAAACACTGTTCTTTCTTTATTGATCTGCAATTCCACATCTGTCAATTGTCCATGTATTGGTGGGGTTTTTTCCCAGCTCTCTATTCTGTTTAATTGGTCAGGCATCTATCCTTGCATCAAAATCATGATTTTTTTTTTTTTTTTACAGTTTCATCTGTCTTGATAAGTAGAGCAAGATGGGAATATCCTTCTTTCTGCAGATTATGCTGGCTCTTTGTAGACCTCTGCTTTGGCATTTACATTTTAGAGTCAAATATCTGTGTTGGGATTTAGATTGGAATGATATTGAGTCTGTGAATCACATGGAGAGAAATGGAAACGTTTACAATATGGAGCAGGCATTTATTCCCATTTTTAGATCTACTTGAATGGGTCCCATCAGTTGTTACAAGTTTCTTCATCCAGGTCTTACAAGTCTTTTGTTAAGGTTTTGTTAGATTCACTCCTATTGTCTTGTTCTTTTTTTTTAATGTTTATTTTTTTATTTTTATTTTTTTTATTTTCTTGTTCCTCATGAAGTCCTGTCTTGCCATGATCGCAGTGGGTGGGCAGAGCAGCAAGCCCAGCCTCCGGAGCCCGAGGTCTTAAACCTGAGCTGAGTCTTCTTTTATTTTTTATTTTTTTTCAAGAATGTATTTATTTTAGAGAGAAAGCGGTGGGGGAGGGGGGAAGGGGCAGAGAAAGAAAGACGATCTCAAGCAGACTCCCCACTAAGCCTGACACGGTTTCCATCTCACAACCCCAAGATGATGACCCCAGTGGAAACCAAGAATTGGACGCTTAACTGACCACTCCACCCCAGCGTCCCCTGTGCCTTCTCTTTAAACACTTGCATTAGGCAGGGCGGTGTGCTGCCTGAAACCTTTCAGTGATTTTGCTTTCTCTGCAAACGCAGGCTGGGTCTCTGGATTCAGGGCTCCTGCCTGGGCTGTGCCCCCTCCACCAGCTTTGCAGCACTGGTCCCGGTGGACCACTGTGGATTTCTCTCTCTGCTCTTTCTTTCATGGTCTGCCTCCCTTCCTGGCATGCCACCCAGCAAGCAGATCTGCTGCGTCCAGCATGAGCACAGGCTGGCCTGCTGGCGAGGAGTATGCTTGTGTGGGACCTTGCCACATTTCCTAACCTCTTTGGGCCTCAGCTTCCTCGTCTGTACAATGGGGATGAGAATATCTACCTTGTGAGGCAGTTATGAGGGACTGAATGATTTTATGTAGAAATGCCTGTAATGAAACCTTTACAAATGTATTTTTTAAAGGACTTTATTTATTTATCTGAAAGAGAGGCAAGAAAGGGCATGAGCTGGGGAGAGGGGCAGAGGCAGAGGGAGAAGCAGATCCCCTGCTGAGCAGAGAGCCCGACTTGGGGCTTAATCCCAGGACCCAGAGATCATGACCTGAGTTGAAGGCAGATGCTTGACCCACTGAGCCACCCAGGCACCCCAAATGCCAGGTATTACTATAGTGACTCTTTATGGAATGGAAGATATCTCTCGATTCTCAAACCCCCTTGTCCAGAGGTCTGTGCTGGGCTCAGCCCCTCACCATACCTCTGTCCCTCTCTGCAGAGCCTCCCTGTCTTCATGCAGGGTTTACCTAGCAGTGTGCTGAGACCCCAGAGCCCTTCCCAGGGCTCAGCTGCCGCTGACCCAGCCAGGGTGATCTCTCTTCCCTCGGAGAGTCTGGTGCTACCTGCCCCTTATCTGTAGTAGCCCCTCCCAGGGCTGGGGGATGAGAAGCATCCCAGCCTCCTGCCCCCACCCAACCACGGAAGGAGGAATGAAGCTGTACACCAGGTGCGAGGCTCCTCACCAGCCCCCCATCAACCCCACACCTGCCGCAGGCCCAGCCCCTCCCCTCCAAGGATTCTGCCCCCAGCCAGCTGGCCGGCGTGTACTGCACGTGTGTGCGTGCACGTGCGGTGGGAGCAGAGGAAATGCACGCCCCTCCTGACCTGGGTGGGCTCTGCCAGGCACACTTTCCAGGTTCCCAGGGCTCTGTGCACACCTTAAAAGAGAAATGAACCCTGCCCGGTGTACTGCCCTGATCAGTCTACCTGAGGGGATGGAGAAGGAAGCCCAAGAAATCTTGCCATTTGCGATGGGCCTTGAGGCATTGTGCTAAGTGAAATAAGAGAAAGCAAATACCATATGATCTCACTCATATGTGGAATCTCAAGCACAGATCAAACAAAACAAAACCCAGAGTTCTAGATACAGAGAACAGATTGGCAGCTGCCAGAGGGAACTGAAGGGATGGGCGTGTGGGGGTGGGGAGTGGATGAAGGGGTCAGGAAGTGCACACTTCTTGCTATTAAAGAAAGACGTCCTGGGGACGTAATGGGCAGCTTGGGCAGCTGATCCTATGGTATCAACTTGGAGAGGTGACACAGGTGCCTAGACTCAGGCTGGGGATCAAATGTCCGATCACTACACCGTATGCCTAAAAGTAACACAATATTGTACGTCAATCATGCCTCAATTAAAAAAGAAAGCCAAGTGCATTATTGCACAATAGTTACAAACCATTAGAAAATCTATCTTTAATAGGTGTTTTTAAAAATATTCTCCTTAAAAAAAAAAAAAGACATTTGTGTTTTGAACGCTATAGGCTTCTTTTAACCAAAGAATGGGATTTTGAATCACATGAATCGGATGAAACCCTCACCTGCGTCTGCCGCTCTCTGATCTGGACTAATGGGTTTGGCAGTGATGCGTTCTGGGTGGCCCGTGCACGGAGGGGCCCCGGAGCCGCCCACCACCCCCAGGCAGCGGGCTCTGATGGCCCGGGGCTGGCCAAGTGAGTCCTCCTCGCTTGCTTTGCCGCGCTGGTCCTTCCTCCTTGACAAGCCAGGACGTTCTGCTGCTGCTCTGAGGTTGCCCTGAAGGTCTCCGCGCATCTGGGTCCTGCGCAGAGCTCTGGAGACACACAGCCCTTTCTCTGTGGCCTTTTCCCTCTGCCCCCCATCCCCTGCTCCCCGCCGCCTGCAGTCCCCACTGTCTCCGTGGTCCTGCTCTGCCCCCACCCGGCCCTCGAGTCTGGGGTGAGGAGCAGGAGGGCGGGAGGTGGGAGATGCTGCTGCCAGGGAAATGAGCAGAACAAGCTGCTCTGATTGGCTTTGGGGAGGCGGACACTGTCTATATAAATGGCAATCACATCCTCTGTGTCTTTGAACTGTCACAGGGAGAGGAGAGAGAAGAGGGAGCGAGTGAGCAAGCACCGCGGGGCTGCCTGTGAGTACTGCTCCTTGTCCTTGTAGCCCGGGGGACCAGCCCCACTGGACAGTCCAGCTCCTGGATGGCTGTGGCACTGGGGTCTGGGGACCAGAGGTTTACCTGTTGCTTTCAGCTGGCGGTTTTCCTCCAGCTGGCTTAGGATGGCTCAGCATCCTGCTGTGGGCCGGTGGGCACACGATAGGAACTTTTTGCAAACATAGATGCCAACCCAAATCACCTGCCTTTTTGTGTGTCTCTAAGCAACAAGTCAGGGAAAGAAGCAGAAACTTCTGATGGTTTTTTTAGCCCGTGTTCTCTGAGCCACAATAGCAACATAACAAAGCTAGTGGAAAGGAGCTTCCAGGCTGGTGCCTGGTGCATTTGGAGCCCAGGGAGGCCGGGAGATGGGGTGGGAAAAGGAGATGGCTAGGAACCAGGTGGACCCAGGCTGCGTGGAGGGCACTGCATGTCCCCTGCCAGGGCTCCTGCCCTCAGCGTGCAGGAGAGTTAACAGTCCTCCTGCAAGATGGTTGTAAACACCTGCTTTGATGTTTGTAAGGGGCGGGGCACACAGTAGGTGGTCAATAATGAGACTATGGTATTAACAAGCCAGTCACCAGCAGGTGGGAATGTCAGAGGGGGGTGAAATGCTGCCCAGTGCTTTCCTGTCCCAGGGAATATTGTTTTCTCCAGTTTCCAAGGGAAGTTCAAGCAAGTGATCCAGGTCTTCCCCCCTAATCCTATTTCTCTGTCAAAAACTCTGAGAGCTGGGTGTTCCCCCTTGGTTTCTCCTTCCAAATGGGCAGCATTTTCCGTTCTGAAACAGAACCCATTGCAAAGGTGCCAGTTACAGCATCAAAGCTGGCCTCTTTGGGTTTTCCACGCTGCTGGAGAGACAAACAAATCCTCTCTGCCTGGGGTGTGGGGGTGCAGTTCCCCAGCAAATACAGCAGACATCCTGGAGCAGTTCTGACAGGATGAGTGTCGGGATGGCTCTGAAAGGGAGCAAGTTTGTGTCCTTTACCGCAGCCTCTTTCTCTCTTCTGGACATGTGCTGGGGGTGCCTCTGCATACAGCCAATTTGATGAAAAAAAAAAAAAAACCTCTTACAAATCAGATAAGTAGCTGGAGAATTTATTTACATCTGTTTTCCCCTCTCGAGGATGTGTATCATTCTGAAGGTTTTACCCTATAACCTTAGAAACTGAGTCTGGTGGCAAGTTTGGGGAAAGACTCCAGGAAAATTAGACTTTGCACATTAGAGAGGTTGTGAAGTGTCTTGAGTTGCTCATTAACATTTCTGGGGGGCGATGCTCAGGGCATCAGGGGGCAGAGCACAGGCACCGGGCCTCAGCGGACCGGGTCTGGTGTTCCAAGGGCACAAACCCACCAGAGAAACTGCCTGTAGCCGTGTGGGCTGAGACCAGCCACCTGCTTCCCTGAGCCCATTTCCTCATTTCTAGGTGGGGATAGTATTGTTACTTTGCAAGGCTGGCGAGAAAGATGGGGAGGACACCACTGCCCTGTGGAGGATAACAATTTCAGCATTTGCTTGGGTTTGGAGGAGGTGGTGGAAGCACTTCTCCTCGGCCGCAGAGGACCTCGAAGTTGGTCAGATCAGATCAGAGCTCTCCCCTGTGCACCTGCTCCAGCATGTCGTGAAAGGGCAGCGCCCAGACCACACTCTGGGTGGCACGCGCTGCCTCTCCAGCCCAGACCAGAGCCTCCTCTGGGTGGGCAGAGGCAGCAGGTGGCTCAGGAGCCCATGGCCACTGGCCACAGCTGTCAGGGGAGGAGGCTGGCTTCAGCCTCCACAGCATAGCACCAGCCCCCAGTGCTCCCGTTCCTGGTTGTATAGCCTGGGTCAGGGCACCAGCCCCTCTGAACCTTGGTCAGACGACGATAATCATACTCACGGGCTGGGTTGTTGAGACAGTAAATGAGATAGGGCACACAACAAGCCTCGCAGAAATTAGGCAGCAGTGACTCATCTGGTTTTTCCGACAATAGGATATGGCAATCCTGGGTCAGCGTGTGCTTGAGCTCTGACTTGGGGAAGCCTCAAACACAGATTTTTTTTTTTTTTTTTAACAACACTGGGGACAGACCAGCAACCCCCTCCAAGGAGCAAGAGGGAGTCCGCAGTCAATATTTACCACTGACCCGATTTGTGAAAAACAAAACAAAACAACAACAACAAAGAAAAACGGAGACTCCCCGAAGAATGTGCCAAAGCCAACTAACTAGACTCCCGACAGCAGGTGTTGTATATTTGGAAAGATGATAAATCAATATGTGAGTTAGCCACAGGCATGACTGCTATTAAGAAGAAAGCAACCAACCAGAACATAATTTAATAGTCTTGAGTCTATGGAAAAGGCAGATGGTGGTGGCCTTTTGTGACCTATTAATGTGACTATAAGAGAGCAAGAGAAAGGGGGTGAGCATTTTAAGGGTGAGGAGAGGGGCTTTCCATGCCAGGAAAGTGTCTTCTGGAAGAGAATGGAATTAATTGGAAAGGGGAGGGGCGACATTAAGAATCAGAATGACTGGATGGTTCTCATACAAACTTTTCAGAATAGCAAAGACAAAGGAAAGTGATAAAAATTTTTAAAATTTCAATTTTGATTGAAAAGAAGTTTAAATGTAAAGTGTGAGCCAATGATAAAAGCCAGCAGAGATGGGGTGTTCGTGCTTGCTGTGCCGAGGGGCGGGTGACATGTTTGTATCATCCCTGTTCTTCTGGAAAGAAACAGACAGCGTGCAAAAGAACAGAAAGCCTTACACCTCTTAATTCCATTTGGGAATTGACATGTTTGAGGGACAAATTCAATAGGAAAACCAAGCAACGTGGCTCACAGCGGCCGCAGCCGATGAGGGACAGGCGACCCGGGAAGTCTGCTTAGCAGGTGTTAATAAGGGTACATGTGTATGCTTTATGAATACAATGTTGCTTGCTGTAATGGGGCCAATGCGAAGCATAAGTGAAAAAAAGGAACCAAATAATACACATACCTTGGTGACCACCGTCCAAATTGTCCAAGGCCAGGTATAAATCGGAATAATATCAACAAGTTGGCTGCCCCCATATTTTTCTTCTGAAATTGCTGCAGGTATCAATTTCCCAGGCAGCATCACGTGTCAGGATACATTTTGCAGGGATGCAGACAGAAGCAGCAGTCTGTCCCCATGGGAGTAAAAGAGAAATCGTGACAGATTTTTCTGTGGGTCCTGCCCATGAGAACGGTCAGCCAGGAAAACACTGAGGCTCGGTCTTTGTCCTGGCGGGGATTTCCTCCTGTTTGCCTTGCACTGCCCTGGGGTTCTGTCGCCGCCAGATGACCCAGCTGGAACAGGACTGAGTTCTAACGTGATGATTTCCCAACATCAGTAGCAACAAAGGGCAGCTGCATGCAGCCTTGGAGTCCGGGGGCTTTCTGCCTGCAGCACCTCGCTGCCCGTGTACCAGGGAGGAAGCAGGCAGCCTCCTGGAGCAGAGCCAGGATTCAAGCCCTTCTGCCTACTCTGATCCCAGAGGCACGTTCTTTCTACTCCCGGTGGCGGCCAAGAGGTAGAGCAGAGTCCTGGGCAACTGCAGGCTCAGATCTGATTCTGTTCAGTGTAGCAGGAAACCCCTCAGAGGCCAGCCAAGCTGGCCAGATGGGAGGAGGCTTCCTGGGTGTCCAGCACTGACCGGGTAGAACCCCGGGGCCCGTCAGCTCATATGCTTGGGTTAATGATTATGCATCTTGTTTAGAATCCTCGGTATAACGTCCATCTTCCAGGCCGGAGGTGGGGGTGTGGAGAGGTTAGGTGGCTTGGCTCGCAGGCACGCCTGCAGCAAACAGCTGGAGCCAACCGGTTGTGTTTTCCTCCGTGGTGACCCCTGGCTGAGCCCCCAGAGGCTCTGTGGAAGCTGCTTGGACCCATACGGCCTCTAGGGGGCGTCCGGGAGCTCTTCACTGGCTTCTCAGGGGGAGACCGGTTTCCTGAATTTAGTTCTTTCTCAGAGTCCACAGTCTCTCATGGTGTGTCTCCCCCTCCGACCCTCCCCAACTCACTTCTCCTCTCCATCTCCCAGTGTCCTCAGTGTTATTCCCCATGCTCCACAAGTAGGTGAAACCATATGACAACTGACTCTCTCTGCTTGACCTACTTCACTCAGCACAATCTCTTCCAGTCCCGTCCATGTTGATACAAAAGTTGGGTATTCATCCTTTCTGACGGAGGCATAATACTCCATTGTATATAGGGACCATATCTTCTTTCCCAGGGTTTGTCAACCCATACCCTGGCCACGGTTGTCGGGGATGTGCCAAACCTGTGCTTGAGTCCACTACACCCAGGAGGGGTCAGGCCAGGGGGCAGGGTCCAGCTGTGTCCCTAGCCTCTCGGTGCCAAGGCCTTTCCATTGGTTCGAGGGGATGGTAAGGGTCCTAACAAGGTTATTACAAAGATTAATAAGAATATATGCTATGAGGGGTGCTTGGGGGGCCCAGTTGGTGAAGCATCTGCCTTCGGCCCAGGTCATGATCCCAGGGTCCTGGGATCGAGTCCTGCATTAGGCTCCCTGCTCAGCGGGGAACCTGCTTCTCCCTCTCCTTCTTCCTACCACTCCCACTGCTTGTTCTCTCTCTCTCTCTCTCTCTTTCTCTGTCATAAATAAATAAATATAATCTTAAAACAACAACAACAACAGTGCATGCTACGAGGTTCACATGGTGCTAGGCACCTGTGAGCTAATGTCTGTGCTGACCGATGAGAGTCCCTATTTCAACAAGGACACCCCAGTATACACGAAATTAACTGAGTGGAAGACAGTGGTATGTGGGTAATATGAGGCACCTGCCGTAATTATTGGAGCTACAGGGAGGGGTGCTTTGGCATGAAGGACACGGTGCCCCAAAGCTTTGTCACCACTCGCTTCACATCTGGGAAGGGCCCTGACATCCCTGGGCCCTAACATCCCTGGGCCCTAACGTTTTAGATCTCCCACCTGTTAAGTTAGGGTGGCGATT